TCACGACCACTGTGTAGAAATATTCGATTATTACAATTTGTTATTAAAAGAAGAAATTGGAAGGTGACTGACTATTCCGAAATTTTATTCTCAATTATAATACATTGTCTTACAGAATCAAATGGTATTACCATGGGTTTCTGTTCGGCACCATCCATCATCCTGCATTTCTCAATTACCTCTAGGATTGTAATTCAGAATCTGTGATCCATCCGGTACCGTCATCAACGGCGTCGTTCAACAGCAAATCGAACCAGTATTCTATATACCAATCATGCACACAGATTGGCATATACAAGACTGATTCAAGTTACTGATTATATATATATCTTTTATATTCATTGTTATATTCTGATCGTCTCGTTCACCCTCATATCTGAACCGAATCTTGTGTCTGGCCACATTCTCGAAGTATTTCTCCACCTTCTTGGCGGTCGAGGTACCCAAATGTCTGTGTTACTTTATTTTATATGTATGATATAATTTTCCATCTTTCATGATTGGCTGTTATTGTTAAAGTTGAATTTCGTCAAGGACTTCATCAAGCCTATCGTTATCGTGTCGAAAGTAAATCGGAGACGGAAAATTATCATACATATAATGTAAAGTACTACAAAGGTTTGAATTCTCATCAACTGAGATCCTGCAAAACTTCTCTCCGAATTATGTCAAGTTCAATATGAAATATCTCGAAAATTTCATCTTAAAATCGGCACAATTCGGCGAGAAAATCACGTTCGTAAAATGTTCGCCGCTGAACTCTTTGATCCGAAGTTCGCTTATGTTTCCCATGTTGTTGCACCACGTTTGTTTCAAATATTTCTTATACACTTTGAACACGGTCTCTACGACTGAAAATGTTATACAGCTTGGCGCCGTAGCCGTTTCTACTGCCCGTCAGTTTCTTCTACTCGTCATCGTAATTAGACTGGTACTGAAATCTTGGCTGAAATCAACTGAACTGATCGTTAGCGAGTCCTACTGGAAATGGAATCAGAAGTTAATCATTTGACTTTACAATAAGAAGAACTGTCAACGTAAGAAGTGTAAATATACATGCTTCGAAATGTATAGATATTATGAAGAACTTTTTTTGCTCTCTTCTATCGCAAACGTTGGTGTCCTACTCTAAACGTTGAACAATTTGAACAATTCTCGTCTAATCATGTAAAAGATATATCAATTTTAAATAACGAAAACTTATAATAAAGAGAACTTGTATCGAACAAGAGCATTTTCGTACGACAATACGTGTATCCTGGTTACCAGAATCAGGGTTCAGATGTCTAATAACGTATAACGAATAATTTTTTTTTTATCAAAATATCGAAAAATACTTCAAATAAAAGTTGTTTGTCTTCTAACTTCAATATTTAACAAGTTACGTATGATTATATGACATTTTATTGGCATTGACGAAATCCGACCGTCGTCGGCAAAACGAAATGGCATCGTCGAAACAGCGAATTTTTGACAAAAAATTTCGTTTTTCCTCAATAACTCCTAAACCGTTGGACCTACGGAAAAATTACATACGACCTTTCTTATAGAGAACGACGAGATCTACAATTTCCATGTAGAAACTTTTCGCTAACGTCAATAGTTAATGAGTTATTAACGAAAAACGAAAAAACAGTTTTTTGCAAATTACTCGTAAACTATTGACGTTAACGAAAAGTTCTTATACAGTGATCTGAACAAGAACGTATATAGTTGACGCAATCGGCTATATAAAAAAATGTGTCTGAGTTGGCTAAATAAAAGAAATTCGTTTAAGTCGGCTTGTCTGAATCTGATCACACGAAATTGAGTGAATAATCAATTAAAATTTCTATTTCCCGATAAGTTGAATGATTTAAAGAATTTAAAAAAATACGGCGATAAAAATTTCCGAATAGTCAGTCAATATACATATATCTATACTTAAATATGCATTCTGTACATTTATATAAATATATACACTTAATTCCTAGGTAATTAGAGATTCTTATTTAAATTTATATTATTTTTAAATTTGTATAATAGAGTAATGAAATTGGATTAGGAAAAAAGTAACGCGACATTTACTTTTTACTCGCGACTTTGAACAATGAAAATTGTTAACGAATTTTTTTATACATTACATAGTAAACTAAGTCTTCCAGCATCCCACGGAAAGTGATGCTGTTTGGTCCAATATATTAGTCGGCTATCCGGACGTTCGTTTTACGAAACGTTGTTCATTATTCGAATAAAGAATCAGGAGAGTCCATAAGCGCTTGAAAACCAGTTGTTCATTCTGCGCATCATCGCCCTCATTGGTCACTTCCGCCACTTCCCAACGCATGCATAATATTGCATATAAGCCATGTGCTCTGGTATGTTATAGTTTACAGTGCAAACTGCAAGTCCCAAATTGGGATTGGGACTCCCAATAAACGCAATAAACCAGTAAACCACTGGAGCACTGTGATAGAGCGTCCTAACCTAACCATCGTAACGGGTGTTTGAAGTGAGAGCGTCGAGAGTACGTAATTAAGCAAAAGCTCTTTGAAAGACTTTTGTACTTATTATGCAGTCTACTATACATTTGAAAATGGAGGATGATTCTGAACCATGTACTGTGCCTCCACCCAAAAAGAATCCATCAGGGAAGGTAAGAGATTACTAACATGTATCATTGCTGTGTTAGGAAACTTAATCTAACTAATCGAATGAGTCTGGAGGAAAGGAGAAGCGGGGTACGCAAAATAACAACTCGTTGAATTTCGGTTGAAATAACAAATAATTGTTTATTGAGCGAACGGTACACCGGTCACTCGCAGAATCTGTATACAAAAATCAGTTTTCGCAATTTCGGAACTTAATATTTATTATTGTGCCGTAACGTCCGTATGTGCAGCGAGGTCTGCTCCATGTCTCGTTTAACGTCGATCTCTGGAAAGAAAAACAAACAAACGTGGCGTATTCGCCAGATTAGTTTCTTCTTTTCTGTCTAATATTGTTCCTACATATATGTATATGTTACTGAAAATTCGAATGCGTTACACGAACACTGGCGATTTCGACAGGCAGACGGTGTTTATTTATCTTTCGCGACGGCTCGCCAGACTAAGAGATGTTATACCGTTTCTTATAACCGGCTATAATCGTAACGGATGCGAATTTAATCCTAATGCTCAAGGCCGAGCAATACTTTTAAACCTTGCACTTCGATATTCTAAGCGCGAAATATTCCTTTGTCCTTTATATAAAATACATATTTAAAATCATGGCTTTGTGGCGTACTTACGTATACAAAACTTTTTTCTTTTTGTAGTTCGTTGAATCTTCTCAAAAGATGAAGATTATAAATTTATATAAAGATATAAAGACCCGAAATCCGGGCATAAAGTACAAGCCCATGCTACAGGTGCTATCTCAACAAACGGGAATTGGCCGGCTGACAATTTCAAAAACAATCGCAGAATACAAATCGACAGGCGCCGTAACATCGCCAAACAAGAAGAGGCCACGCCTCAACATTTTTGAGAAAATGTCTGAGGCAGACATATGTGCTATTCGGAAGACGATACATGAATTTTGGTTTCGTAGGGAGATCCCGAATACGAGGAAAATTTTGGAAGCCGTAAACAATAACGCAGATCTTCCTACGTTCAGCGAATCGTCGTTATATAGATTATTAAAGCGCATGGACTTTAAATTTATAACTTGTGCGCGTAATAGCGCTTTGATAGAAAAAGATCATGTTGTTGCTTGGCGTCAGAACTATATTCAGCAAATTCAAGCCTACCGAGCACAGGGGCGTCCTATATATTACGTTGGTGAAACGTTATTTATACCGATTTTCCCATCTCTTACAAAAGTTGAGAACGGGATTGGTGAAACGTTCGTGAAAGTCGAAGACTGCGGAGAGAAAATTTTGTTTGACACGATCTTTACCTGTCCAAGAAATGTCACAGAAAGGCGGCTGTCGACAGGGGTAACTGAGCCCTCTGATAAGGGAAAACATCTAATAATAGGACACGTCGTATCATCAGACGGGTTTGTACCTGGAACCCTCCTCTGCTTTGAGGCGAAGAAAAATTCTCTCGATTACCGCAACGAGATGAACGGCGACATATTTTTCGATTGGTTTCGCAGTTTTTTGCCCATGTTACAAGACGGGGCAATTATTGTAATAGATAACGCTGCACATCATAGCGTCAAAATCGAAAAATATCCAACCTTGAGTTGGACAAAAAATGATATTATCACGTGGCTGGTGGGTAAGGGGGAAAAGGTGAATCCTCACTATGTAAAAGCACAATTGATTGGGCTAACTGGAAAGCATAAGCGTCCAGAAAACAATTATGTAATTGATGAGTATGCAAAACAACATGGTCATATTGTGCTACGCCTTCCCCCTTATCACAGTGAACTCAACCCCCTCGAGTTAGCATGGACAAAACTTAAAGATTATATTACAGCGCGGAACATAACATATAAGTTGGCTGATATCCAGCAATTAGTCAATGAAGCTATCGAAAATGTGTCCACCGAATCGTGGCAAAATTTAATTTGTCACATAATAGACGAGGAAACCAAGTTGTGTCAACTCGACCACATTACTGACGATATTTTGGACAACAGTGGTGATTGGTTGGATCAGTCTGATGATTCCGACGCGAGTAACACAGAAAACTTGTAAATATGCCCAAGTTTTTGTAAATATTGTATTCATAGTGTAAATAATCATGTAAATCACGTAATAATATTAGGTAAACATTGTAAATTTCTGTAAATTTGTTGTAAACATTATTTAATTTAATGTACACAACCATGTATTTTCTTTGAGACGTGAGAAGACTTAGCTTATTACAAAATTTTTTACACATTATATAAACTAAGTCTTCTAGCATGCCATACAAAATTATGTTACTTGTGTTAATGTTAGAAAACATTTGTATTACGTCCGTTTTAAAAGGTATGCAAACACCTTTTTGTAACCAATCAGTATTCTGTAATTTTGTACTACTTGAGTTCAAGTACTTCAGGCAACCTTATGGTTCTACTGCAATTATTGAGATTGAAATAAAACAGTGGCGAAATGAGAAATGGATTTTTCAATAGATTTATTATCTAGTTTTGATTCCAAGCCAGTTAAGGATATTAGTATCACATTTTTTTAAGTGGCAAGTTTTAATTTGTGCCTTCTTTAATCCTTTTACGCAATTGTTCGCCGAACAATGACGCCAACGAACCCGTCGGCCATTTCCGCATGTTACACTACATGTACTCCAATTACCCCAATCGTCCCACACTCCGTTTTCTATAACATTTACAATAAATATTCGTTCCACGCACTAAAATACATTCAATATAATAATATCGATTCAAAATAATTAAATTGTTATAATTTTCAATTCTGAAAGAATCGTAATTTATTCATTATGTCTGTTATATTATTGTTATTTCGAGAAAACTGATATAATTAAATATATATAAAATTCATCTCACAAAATAATTGATTTAATAATTAAGAGTTCCATAAATAGATTTCAAGCCCTGAGAAAGATACAAAATAAATCATTTACTTACCTTCTTCGCTAGTAATCTCTGGCCTGAACAAAGAATCACTTTTTTCTTCCTCATTCAAAGTAGTGGCTCTATGAAATCGTCCACTTTTCATAGAATTTTCATAAACAGTCTTATCCAAATAACTAAGTAATTTACGTTGACGATTGTTTGAACTTTTCACGTAAAACTGACTGCGACCAAATTTTTCATCATGTCGTGCTACTAATTGATCAAACTTGATTCATTGCGTTAAATTAATATTAATCAAAATTATAACGATGGGACTAACGTGCTAATTTTAAAATAACTGACCTTCATGCATCTACATCTCTTGTTATTAAACGTACAAAAATAATTTTCAAGACTTGTTCCATTCGTAGAAGATTTGATAGAGTTCAATTCGATCGAAGATAAATTTCCTTCGCGATTTTCATGCATACTGCTTTTAAAAATTTAATATTAAGTTCGGCAAATAATTGTATAATTCAATCTTATCTTAAACTTAAAAATTACTTTTTGCATTGAACTTCGGAATTTTTTAAAAATGTGCAGCTAAAGCAGTGCGCTAATACCACTGTGAGTAATAATCGCATATCATATTAATCCCTTTCAGTCTTTTAACAAGTAAATGAAACTTATTTAGATTAAAAATAATTTATAAACTAACCTTATGAAATAAACGATAATTTTATTTGACGCTGTATTCAATTATACGTGCCTTCAGAACGCTACAGCGTCTCTCGACTTTTAAATATATATACATACAACTAAAATACACAACGTTACATTATAACTTAATCGATACATCAGAAATAACTCTTTATAATTGTATTATCTACTTATTTTAAGATACATTTTATATACGTCTTAATACTTGAATACATGACTCAATATAAAAATATATATTGGACATTTCTAGAGTTGTAGGGTATTTATTAGAGAACTGAAATAAATTTGAAGCTATCATATTGCATTCACAGTCGGAAAAATGTTTTATGCGCACGACCATTTGGAATTTGTCCTTGAAGTCTTAATCTCCTAACTGCTTCCCGTAAATGTTTCGGTTGTAACGGCCCTGTTTCTTGGTGGGCCTCCATAACATCGAGAGCTGAATTCAACATTCAATTAAAACTATACAATCCCATACTTTTAAATAAAGATTTAAGACGTACCTTCTTCAACTATTTCTCCAACAAACACTTTGGCGATACCAGACATAGCAATGACCACATTTTGTGACACGGAACAACCGGTTATTGTTTGCATGATCTGTAAGAACGCAGTTGTAAGATAGAAAGTTTACAATGTTTCGAAAAGAAAAATTGTAATTACCCTCTTTATGGCTGCTTTTGGAAATGCAGCTCTTCTGTACATTTCATATCTGTCTAATTGATCTTCTGTAAAATTGGAGACTAACACTCTGTTTTGCGAAACAAAAATTAGAGCATAAATTAATCCGTTTCGATGTATACACAATTATTAAAATGCGGATTTTTATCCAAAGTTAAACATTTGGCAATTTGGAAAGTGAAATCTAAATTGAGATTTCCTTTATCCTCCAAAAATAGTGATGAGTAGATTGTATACTTTTAAGCTAAACTATTTATAATGTCAATATACGAAATAAGATCTAAATAGGAATTTTTTTTGTATTTTACAAATCATAATATGCATTTCACTTTTAATACTTCGCGTATCCTTGCATATTAATTAAATCTTTTGTATTTCATCTACATGCTATTTTTTTTTAAAATCCGCGGTCTATTGATGGGTATTATACTTTCAATGTTCTGCAAATTATACGAACTCTTTATATTTTCTATATAACCAGTTTTTCTATAAATCCAACAATCGAAATATTCTATAGAGATGTGCGAGTACCCGAGAAACCGAGCAGCTCGATCCTCGAGTCGAGCTAGCAAAAAACCGGGCGAATCCGGGCGATAACTCGATAAATTGAAATGCTCGAGCTACTCGAGTGCGCTAAGCTGCTCGGGCCCAGGGAGTTGTTCGGACAAGTCGACCAGCTGAATCGCATTGTGTAACTTGGTGGTTCCGGCTTGACTGAACGTCATGAGTGTGCGATGGTTCTCGGACAGGTTCAGTTTTTTGCCAGCTCGACCCGAAATCGGTTTTTCGGGTACTCGCACATCTCTAATTCTATATAGACACATACTGCATTTTTTCTCTCTCCTCTTCTTCCAATTCCTTTTTACTTTTCTCTTTACTCTCTCTCCTCTCCTTAATGTTCGTTGGAATCGCATGAGGTAATACTATATCATTTTCGAATATATCTTCTGTCGTTTGTTCTTCTTCTCTATTATCGTTTTCATTTTTAACCACTTCCAATTGATCTTCCACTACTGTACACAATGGATTAGATCCAATCTCCTCTGGATCAGATTGAGACTGCGAACTCATCGCATCAGATTCTATCTAGCATTTAACATTTAATGAATGACTTGGAGTATTTTATAATGCATTCAAGCATAAAGTACATCATTCTCACAGTTCTTATAAGTAGATTTAAAATTGTCATTTTTCATTTCAAAATAACAAGATATAATACATACATATGAAATTCTCAAAATTTTCAAGTAACATGTAAAGGGTCACAACATTAAAAAATTAATCATGAACATAATTTCAAATTATTTATAATTGATAATCAGATTACTTTTTGTCCTATTCTGTTCACTGTTTACAATTCTAATATACCTTGACTTGCACATTTTCTGTATCCATTGATTCTACATCTTTGATTCCAGAATTTTTAGGACTATCCTTCTCTTCCTTCTCCTCAACTTCAATATGATCACTTTCATTCCCAGAATCTTCTTTTCCAAAAATATCATCCATGATTCGACTGATTAAATTGCAAACAATATGAATGGAGTAACCTGTGTTTACAAGTAACAAATACTGCTCTGTTTATCTGTAGTCAACAAATCCTACAGGAATGTCACTGAGGTTAGAACACGCGTAGTAAGAAAACACAGAAGAATTTATTTATATTTATACTTACATTGCAAGTAATAATTTAGTCGATGATGCAGAAGAAGTCGAATAGATGTTAATTGTACTTACTACGATATTTTTTATTTCCTTGATATATCACTTTCAAAAAACAGCTAGTTACCTAGCATCTAGCACTATTCGCGGTTTGATTCAAACGTTCCCACTATACGCGGATACGCGACAGTGAGGGGTATATACAGAGATGGAAAGGCTTTTCATCTCTGGTATATAATTATATGGATCCATGGACTATGGACCTATTATTGATAATTCATGTAATTATCCCATCAAACCATCTGCCTGCAGCATAGACATATCGACATGAGGTTACGGTCATGCGCGAGTGACAATTATTGGTATTGGTATTGGTACGCTTTTTGAGAAAGTGGTACTGTTCTCTCTTATACTGTGACTGTGTCCAATCTGTGTCCGCTTTCGAACAAAAAAATGCATACGCACGTAACTGTCTCGACGTTCTGGCCTCGCTTCGATGAAATGAGCTTTTGTACTCTTATTACAACTTACAGGTCAATTGACGTATATACACAACGAAAACAAATATCTTGGATTCCCATGGACCGACATATTACGTCTCGGATTAAAACTGAAGGTCCAAAAGATAACTTCCTGTTTGCTTCATTGTGATTCCTCTGCTAATTTCAAGTTTGGATTCAATTGGTTTGTATATGTCTGTTAAGTCATTTTACTGTAAGCGGTAACACAGAAGCGAATAAAGGAACTAGACATTCCTCTTTTTCGTAATATAAACATTTTTATAAACAGGTCCATGGTGCTGCTACTGGTTTTTATACAGCTCAATGCTCATACATCAAACCTAACCTAAAAACGACTGTCAAACACTCATGCCTAATGTTTGATTGAAACTATTATGTCGAAGAAGGTTTAGAACAACATAAATAATGAAAGAGTTAATTATATTGCAATACGTGCCAGTAATATAATATTCATATGTATTCAAATTTTTTAAATATCAAATATTGTTCTTGTGCGTGAAATGTAATCTACAAAAGTGTTTATGCCTATCAAGAATAACTTTTACTTCCGATTGAGTGTTCTAACTTATGACCGAGATATTCAAGGATGGCTGAGGAAGAGGGAAAAATTGAATACGTGACAGAGCCTTGCCCCATTAGACCACGGAGAATCGGGCCACAAAACATAGTTGTACGGTTAAAACGTAGGGAAACATTCGGTTGCCCTTATGCAGCTACGCACGTGCATATTGCCAGACAATTTTACCAGAATGTCTTCCCGAATTTCACGGTGATGAACGTGGAGAAGCCTCCGTGCTTCCTGAGAAAATTTAGCCCAGATGGTCGATACTTAATTGCGTTCAGCGCTGATCAAACATCCGTTGAGGTTTATGAATATCGTGGGGCGTCCGCAGCTGCTGATTTGCTAGCAGGTTGCGAAGGAGAATACATTGGGCATAAGAATGATGAGCGTAGCTTTCAAATCAGAAGGAACATTTTTAATAGATTTTTTAAGGTACAATTGCTACACTGAATTTTATGGATTTATTAGAAAATATAAAGATTGACATGCATGAAGATGTATATAAAATATCAGAAACTGCATTACTATGATTACATGATAAAATGAATTTCTATTTAAAATGCATTTTCGTATCCGCTACAAATAATACTTTATTTTGCATAAAAATCATTGAGTCTAGTGATTGTAAACGCCTTCATTGCTAAAGAAAACAACAATTTGTATGTATTTGCAGGCTAAGTGGGTTGTGAACGTAGTCCAAAGCAATGAGCAATTGAACAGGGAATGTAGTCTATTCACTGATGATGGTAGATATGTGATTATTGGCTCAGCTGCACATATCCCAGACGAATTGAGACCACACTTTTACCAAGTAAGAATTGTATTTTCTTATACGTAAGTTTTGAACTTCTAACGATAATATTAACTTTGATTTTGAAGATTTACTCCAATAACGAAGCGCTAACTCCGAATCCCAGATCACCACTCGAAGATTACAGTCTGCATCTCGTCGACTTGCACGGGGGAAAATTATGTGATACTAGACATTTTAAAGTGGACAAAATATATTTATCGCACAATCAAGGTAAGATCCTTTAATTGTATCAAAATCGTTCAGAGTATTCGAAGAATTGTTTTTTTTTTTATAGGCCTTTATCTTTATAAAGACATACTGGCAGTGTTATCTGTGCAGCATCAAACTATTCATATATTTCAGATTCTTGATGGTATGTTCATCAACGTCAGAACAATAGGAAGGTAGTAAAGAATTCCCTTTTTACATTTTCTGCAAATTCACGATCTATAAACTTTTTACTTTTATGCTAATTAATTTGTGACAGGTTTTGTTTAGAGGATGATGCTTATTTGATTACAAGCGCATGTCCTGGCGTGAATTGTCGCCCATTCCGAGACGTTATGATAAACAGCCTTAAGCACAAGTTGTTGGTTTATTTGTACAAAAGAGCAGCATATATCAGTGACACGAGTAAAGATCCCTATGAATTAAGACGCTTTTACCAATATTTCGACCAGGTATCAATTTGAAAGCCATGTAGCATTTTAGATTCAATCACGAAAGTCTATATGTATTCCATAAAAAGTATGAGGCAATACTTTTTATGAAATGTACGAAGACATTCATGAATAAATGTACACGTTTGTTTAACAAGTCAACGTTTCAGTTGAACGCGTTGCGAATGTGGAAAATGCAATTGCTGGATACAAATCATATTCTTGTGAGATTCGCGAGTGAGGAGGTGGCAACACTTCAGGCGAACGAACCCAATGTGCAACCGGCGCTTCTTGTCGTTTACGATATGGTTTCAGCTAAAATATTAGCCGCATACGATAACGCGTCCACGCAGTTGTTAACGCACTTCGAAAACTTCAGCGATTTCTTCAGGAACGCTAGAACGAGTAGCGACTGTCAGTACATGTGTTCCCCTTCTAATAATATATACGCAAGGTATGTCGTACAATAATGCAGTATGCACTTAACGGGGTAGGTTCTAATAGTAGCCTAAGACAGAATGTCAATGTTACCCACAATGAGTCAAAAATATGGGTTTACTGGAATATACTACGAACGACGAAGTCGTGAGCCGCGAGGCAAATGACGAGTGAACTAATTATACATTCGCCTCACCACGCGCTTCGTGATTCGCGCGAATGTGTAAATGTGATCTAAGACTCAACACAATATTTCATACAATAATTGATACATTAATTTATTCTATATTAACATAATAATTGATGCAGCAGTACTAATAGTTCATTCGTAATTTTTGAACAGATTATTGCAGCAAAGATTTAAGCAGACCATAGTAAGTGCCAGGTACGGTGGCGTTACGGAAGCCACTAAAAGATTACTTGCTCAATTACCGATATGCGCTCAGTCTTATTCCAGTTCACCATACCTGGATTTATCTCTATTTTCCTATGATGATAAGTGGGTGTCCATGATGGAGCGACCAAAGGCTTGCGACGAACATCCTATACGGTATCGTTTGCATTTTTTTAATCAACTTTATATATGTAAATCTGTTAACTTAGTAAACCAGTGCTAAATCTGTAATTTCAGATTGTAGTACGTAAAATTATTAAAAAACTAACTAAAAAAAGATAAGATTCCAGAATTCCGCTGTGACTGAATTAATAATAAATGTGAATAAGGAATTTTCTTATAAAAAAATAATCGCTGTACAATTGCTGTTATAGATTTTACGCTCGTGATTCTGGCCTCCTGAAATTTCGAATGTACGCTGGGATGTTGGGTCGAACGACACCCACAGCTGCGAGACGATTGGTTGCATTTACTTTTCATCCCACAGATCCATTCGCCATTTCTGTTCAAAGGACGAACGCCGAATACATCGTCAGTTTTCACGTCAGGCACATTTAAATTGAACTTTTGTATTTCTTTCAATGAAAATACGATCTCCTTGTACAGAGTTTTAGTAATAATCAAACCGAACAATTCTGAGGAATCATAAATGAACGATCTATGCACAATTAATTAGAATTATAAGTTGAATTCATTACCTTTATTATGAAACAAGCAACTCCATTTCACGTTGGCCTTACTTCCATTCGATATAAGATTATACTTTACTATTAATATTTCAATGATGAAAAAGAGTTACGCTGTTTTCATAATACACTTCTCATTTGTTACTATTTTCATGTTAATTTAAGACTGTTAGATGTAAGATAATAAGGCATTATAAGGTATGAGAAGAAAATGGCTATATATATACATGTAAAATTGTAAAAAGTAAAGAGCGATTGTAATTTCGAAAACAGTTTGTACAGTTATTGTTCGTTTTTTACTATACTATGAATAAAGTATTAATTTTCATTAAATATTGCTGTTCTACTTTGATTATTCCACAAATGTGAACGGAATTAGATAATATTGGATGACTTATTAATAAACTCAATATCTGAGATGACAGAAAAGAATGAGATAACGTGAAGATTTGTATTGTTAGCCAGATCGAAGGACGCGATAGGCAAGTTACAATATAATCTGCTTTAGAATACCATAAAAAAATGTTTTCTGGATGTTAGTTTTACACGGAATTAATAAAATTAAGATCTTTAGAAGTATGTAAGTAGTAAATATTGATATTTGAGTAAAACCTATGTTCTAAAAGCGCCCGCTTTGGCAGCTTTAATTATGAAAGTTTGTATGACGCTTCCTTCTAGTTCGGAAAAATTTGCTGTTTGTACCATCTCGGTCATATGATTTAACGCATATTTAAAGCAGTAATCTTCTAATTCCTAGAGAAAGGAAGTAGGCAATGAATGTGAAGGACGTATAGCAAGTACATATTGCATACATACCTTGCTATTGTATTTGAGAGATACGTTGTATAAAAACGCTACATTTGCAACTGTAATCCCTCTTTTTATCATCTCGATACAGCATCTTTTTAATTGACTCTCGGAATAGGCATTAGCTAGGTTTAAAAGTTCTGTCAAGAGAAGAATAGTATTCGTGAAACATATGGTTCAATGTCCGTAAGAATTAGGCATATTATACCTAATGCATTTTCTGGAGGTAGCTCAACTTTGTTAATGTACAAATATCTTAAAAAACTTTTGTACACGTCATAGGAAAATTCTTCGTGCTCGATAACGCTGGAAAAAAACGTAAGAAATTGTATTTATTATACTGTACGGTCGTTTCGAGAAAAGTTACCTTTGACTGTTTTCCGTCCAGTGCTCTTGAAACATGGTCCTAAAATAATGACACCGTATTTTTAACACTGCTTTATGTACGTGAATCGGTTTCCCATGTACTCGAATAATGAGATCGCTAGTGGCCTGCAAATTGTATAGCAAGAAGTCGTGCAAAAAGATAAGTAACTGTTCAATATCTTCCAAAAATAACATACTGCATCATCGAAAGCTTCTTTCATGCTATCTATTAAACTCGTTTCTTCTTCATAGTTGAGAATCAACGGCTGGTGCATGGCAATTGGAGATGCGTAACGTGCAAAAGCATCGTGTAGACATTTTAAACGAGTAAGGGTTGGGACTTTAATACAATATGCCAGACACTTGCCCCATACAAATATCTGATTATTTTTACCCATTGCTACACTTATGTTACTATGGTACGACGCGGCTATATCCAACACTCTTCCCATTTCTTGCACTTTTAGCTGTGGAAATGTTCATTAATTTCGAATATAAGTAAAACTCACGAATGTGAACGTTTACCTTATTTAGGCCGCCGTTATTTTTATGTCCAGTAATACCTAATTGTCTACAATTATTCTGACCCCAAACGTAAAGATTACCATTATAGCTCAATGCCAACATATGCGCGAATCCACAAACGACTTTCACTGTAAAATGAATTTGATATAATTGACAGTTGATACTTAAGTTCTGGTTTTTCACGTGATTTTCATGTTACCTATCAGTATTCCGGAAGGGAATGTGAATTTGGATGGTGTAGACTGAGAAGTATCATTCTCATTGTTAGAGTTCCAACGATAAACTTCTCCATCATCTGTAACTACTGCGCTGAATGAATTTCCACAACTAATATGAGCAATTTTTCTATTATACAAATCCATTTTCTTAAGTGTATAAGGAATATCATATGTATCACGATACACATACTGTTGAGATGACTGTTTATCCCATGTATATACCTTAAAGAAATACAATATTTTCTTTCAAGATTCTGTTAAAAGAAATTGAACATTGTTCGTTATACACTTACATCCCCATCAACTGTTAATGCCAAAAAATGAGAACTCCCACATGCTATATCTATAACTACTGTTCCACTTAAAGTCGATACCAAAGTAGGAATTAAAGAGCTAGTACCATCATGTGGACGTCTCCAACCATTCTTCCCCCATGAATACACCTAGTATATAGATAGTGTTAGTAGACAATATTAGATCTCGTCTATCAGTAATATAAGTTTCGGGCACCTCTCCCTTATCAGTCAGAGCTAAAACAAAAGACTTGCCACAAGCAAAAGTTTTTATGCCCTTTTGACACAATTCATCAATTATCATAGGACAGAGAGTGCTATGAGTATTACCAATTCCAAGACAACCGTCGGTATTACTTCCTATTCCATATACCATTCCATCCTTTGTTACAATTAAAGCATTAGTGCCTGAATTGTCTGTTTAACAAAGTTAACTTTCTCATAAATATTATTAAAGAAAAAGATATAAGAAAAAGTAGGTATTACCAAACACGATAGTCATATGAATCTTTGATATGAATTCTGATTTTAAGAAATCAAAAATTGACCAGTTTTTCAAATCGCAGTGCATCATTTTTCTTATATACGTTTCCAAGCTTCCGAGTGAATAAATCTAACTGAATACTGATATTGCGTTTTTATTTGCTTATGCAAAAACACGTCTGCTTTGTACGAGTGCCAACGAGTGCCCCGAATGCTCATGCAAGAAGAAAGAATATTGTTTGATATCGGTTGTTGATACTTGCGCAGGGATCTCGTTTGCTTCCGTACACGGCTCGCTTCCCCTGTTTTTCGCCCGTTTTTCGATCCCCACTACTATTCTCCTCACGCGCCTTCGCGAAGCTCTCCGCACCGCCACCTGCATAACATTTCGTCCTAGTGATTTCTGAATTTGAATCGGACGAAATGAATTATTATGAAGAGCGAAAGTAAATGTAATGAATATAATTTATATGCATGTATATATTTGAAAAGCATAAATGTATGAGAAATAATGTATGCTTTTCGTGTTTGTAAATTTCAAATTGAATCTATTCGGGAGAGGTAAATAATAAAAGAAATGTAATTTTATTTGTTTAAAAATATATTTATTCGTCATCAGTGTTTGTAGTGTCAGTGTCATCTGTTTCATCTTGTACAATTATATTTCCTATCTCCGCAGGAATTGCTTTCCTCTTATACATGTTATTATTAAATAATTTTAACATGTCCGTTGTTACAATATAATCCATACATGTTTTTTTGTTACTTTTTAAATATAATTTGGTTCTTGTTATTGCCGCGATAGTTTCTGGGTTCAAACGATTTCTATCTAAACTTTGTACGTGAAAACAAATTGGACGTGAAAGTGTTTACGCCTGGAATCCAAACTCAAATGATTCAGCGCCGCGTTCGTCTACGTCACACTTGGCTTGGCGCTACTATCAACGTTGCCAACTTGACGAAATGTATAGCCAAAATAAGCCTACAAATCTTGAAAATCACTGCATACCCCCACCAACTATTGGTCCCCACCATGGTCGCGTCGTCCCCACTTTCCGGCATGTACGGAAGCAAACGAGATCCCTGCTGTGAATACCGGCCATAATGTATGCAATCGAAGCTCCATCTGTAATAAGAGTTTTCATTACAATAGCAAGTTCATGTATATAAATTCCCATCTATATAGTTCGTATGCAGTTAATGGCCGGATATAACGCACATCAAGTTTAGCTGCCATATTGTTGTGTCACGTGACGAGGGAGTAGCGAGGTGAATGCGCCGGGTCGAATTCGTGAAGAAGAGTCAAAAATTTATTCACCGTCGTCTACCAAGGAAACCGATTACAACATGGATGTACGAAAAGTGACGGAATTATTACGAGCCACGATCGACCCAGCGCAACAAAAACAAGCTGAAGAGCAGCTGAATCAGGTCGGTCAACTGATTGAAAACGTGCTCGAATGACCGATACTCCGACAGAAAACATGTGCCTATTCGCTATCATCTTTCTTGATTACCCAGTTTTTAACGTACATATATATATACATGTACATGCATGCATATATTATATATAGAATTAATTTAGTTAAAGACTGTTTGCAAAAATAAATTATTTCTTCATTTACTTCAAACTAACATTTTAGTCCTGTTTTACTAACTTTAAATGAGAATGACCTTTAACCAAATTCATAATTATCTGAATCCAATTCTTTACATGTAACTTTTCTGTATTTTATATTAAAAATATGTTTGTATTCATAATTCTTTATACGTTTAATTTATTCTTAAATCTTGTAACTTCCTATAGCATAACCCTAAATTAATATATGCACATCTTAGATGCAATATACATCGTACAAATGATATAGCACCACTTTCTATATTTAATCATTAAATACGGTAGAGGATTTGATTAAACATGTAATATATTTCCAGATTCACAAAATTATTGGTTTTGCACCAACTTTGCTCCAAGTGGTAATGACTGCAGGAGACATGCCTGTACGACAAGCTGGTAATTAACAAAGTCAATTATTATATATAGAAACAAGAGTTAATTAATTATAATTCAATACCAATTTAGGTGTTATATATTTGAAGAATTTAATTACAACAAATTGGGCTGACAGAGAAAATGAAAATGGACCAGCCAAATTTACTATCCATGAACAAGATCGTTCAATGATCCGTGATGCGATTGTTGATGCTCTGGTACATGCACCAGAACTTATCAGGTAAATTCTTTTATCGTAGTTTCAATTGTAAAGACTGTTTGTACATGTATGTAGCATTTATGAATAATTTTTATTGATTTGTCTTTTCTTTCATTCAGAGTACAATTGGCTGTTTGTGTTAATAATATAGTGAAACATGACTTTCCTGGAAGATGGACACAAATAGTGGACAAAATTACAATATATTTACAGAATTCAGATGCTTCCTGCTGGCCAGGTGTTTTACTTGCACTTCATCAACTTGTAAAAAACTTTGAGTATGTTATTGGTATTTCTGTCTTATCTTACTTATTTGAAAGCGATAGTGTGACTAAAATACAAATGATTATTATAATTGCTTATGTTCTGTAGATATAAGAAAGCAGAAGAAAGAGGCCCGCTGAATGAAGCAATGAATCTTTTGTTCCCTATGATTTACCAATTGATATTGCGACTTCTACCAGATAATTCGGAGCAATCAGTACTGCTACAGAAACAGATACTGAAAATATTTTTCGCTCTTACGCAGGTATAATATAAATAGCTAAGCATTTAGTTAGTCATTGTTTCAATTAATATAGTAAAATGTATTATCTTCGTGTTAGTACACACTTCCTTTAGATCTGATTTCGAAAGAAGTATTTTCACAATGGATGGACGTGGTGAGACAAGTAGCCGATAGACCTGTTCCGCCCGAAACTAATAACCCAGAGCTGGACGACGATGAACGAGCAGAGTTGCCATGGTGGAAATGTAAGAAATGGGCTTTACATATTCTACACAGAATGTTTGAGAGATATGGAAGCCCTGGAAATGTAACCCAGGAATACAAAGAATTCGCTACATGGTACTTGAGGACATTTAGCGGAGGAATACTCGAAGTTCTTTTGAAAATTCTGGACCAATATCGAAGAAAAATATACGTATCGCCTAGAGTAATTCAACAATCAATTAATTACATTAATCAAGGAGTGAGCCATGCGTATTCATGGAAATTCTTAAAGCCACATATGTTTGAGATTATTCGTGATGTACTCTTCCCAATTCTCTCGTATTCCGCTGCAGACGAAGACCTATGGAAAAATAATCCATACGAATATATTAGGGTGAAATTTGATATATTCGAAGACTTTGTGTCCCCGGTTACCGCGGCGCAGACTTTATTACATTCAGCCTGTAAAAAACGTAAAGATATGCTTCAAGAAACTATGCAATTCTGTATGGAAGTCTTAACCAGTCCGAATGCTGACCCCAGACAAAAGGATGGTGCGTTGCATATGGTTGGAAGTTTAGCAGACGTGTTGTTAAAGAAAAAAGTTTATAGAGAACAAATGGACAAAATGTTACTGCAATACGTATTTCCCGAATTTAACAGTCCTCACGGACACATGAGGGCGAGAGCATGTTGGGTGCTGCATTATTTCTCGGAAATAAAATTTAAACAAGAACAAATATTAGTTGAAGCTGTGCGGTTGACAACAAATGCACTTTTAACGGACCAAGACCTACCAGTTAAGGTAGAAGCTGCTATTGCATTGCAGATGCTTCTCTCTGCTCAAGAGAAGGCACAAAAATATGTAGAACCCCTAATCAAGCCTATAACCCTTGAATTATTGACTATCGTACGGGAAACGGAAAATGACGATTTAACGACTGTTATTCAAAAAATTGTTTGTACATATTCGGCACAGCTTATGCCAATTGCAGTTGAAATGTGCCAACATCTTGTGAGTAGTAACTTTTTGTTTTTCATTTGTTGTAAGATAATGTATATTCCTAACAAATATGTTTGCTAGAGGCCCTACATGTTCTATATTTTTAGGCTGCAACTTTCAGTCAGGTTTTAGAAACAGATGAAGGCAGTGATGAAAAGGCTATAACTGCTATGGGATTGTTAAATACAATAGAAACGTTGTTAACTGTAATGGAAAATCAACCACAAATCATGGCGCAATTGCAACCAACGGTTCTTCAAGTTGTTGCCCACATTTTTGGGGAAAGTGTGATGGGTAAGTGAATATTGATAGTCGACAAGTAAAACAACAAATTCCGATGATAATAATTAATGTTTTCCTGTGTACTTTTAGAATTTTATGAAGAAGCTCTTGCGTTAGTTTATGATCTTACCGGAAAGACGATTTCAGAAGATATGTGGAAAGTATTAGAATTAATGTATCAATTGTTTCAAAAGGATGGCTTTGAATATTTCACAGATATGATGCCTGCACTTCATAATTACATTACTGTTGATACACCGGCATTTTTATCTAATGAAAATCATATATTGGCTATGTTCAATATGTGTAAAGCTGTGAGTTGATATCAGGTTTTTATAAAAGTTTACAAATATTATTTCGCAAATTTATTTTTAATTTTTGTGACAGGTGTTGACCGGTGATGCTGGAGAAGACCCGGAATGTCACGCTGCCAAATTATTAGAAGTAATAATTTTACAATGTAAAGGTCACATCGATCAGGTAAATTATTATATAAGTGTTTCATTATTCTCTTTTCTGGATCTATCATATTTTATATACAGCGTTATTTGTAGTGTATACCTTCGTTCGTGCAATTGGTACTGGAGCGCTTAATGCGCGAAGTTAAAACATCAGAATTGAGAACAATGTGTTTGCAAGTAGTGATCGCGGCCCTTTATTATAACCCAGCGCTTTGTCTCGACACAATGGACAGATTACAAGGAAATTTCGGACAATCAACAGAGCCTATTGCTTCACATTTTATCAAGCAATGGATACACGATACGGATTGCTTCTTGGGGTAATTATTTTTAGCTCTTTGATTACCGTTTCATATCTTGTGTTATACTTTGTAATTTGTAGTTACTAATATTTATATAATTCTTTTTTTTATATTGTTTAGATTGCATGACAGGAAGTTATGCGTACTTGGATTATGTACTTTAATTAGTATGGGTCCGGCAAGACCACCAGCGGTAAATGAATGTGCTCAGCAAATTATCCCATCTTTAATTTTACTTTTCGATGGACTCAAAAGAGCTTATGCAGCAAAAGCTTCAGATACCGATGACGAAGAAAACGAAGAAGATGATAGTGATATTGACGAAGGTAATATTTTTTAATAGAGGTGAAAATAGCTGAAGATATCGCATTGCGTCGGGACAAGAATTTTCCTCGGGGTTGGGACGGATTCTCGAAAATTTCGGGAATCCCGAAAATATTCGGGCTTCTCGAAAACATTCGAGAGATAATAATCATGATATTTTATTTGAAATTTTCGTTCAAAAATACTGATTATTACTTATTTGGTATATTGTTTCCACGTTTTCCAACATTTATAACTACGCTAACAAATTAAATAAGTAAAAATAAAAATAAGTGAATACATTTTATAATCTGATTTTTGAGAACGCTTAAAATATTGAAAATTTCACACCACGATTGATTTCGTCCAGTCTCACAACGGTAATCACATCCTCGAAATTTTAGGAATTCTAAACATACTTGAAAATCTCGACATTTTCGGGAATCCCGAAATTTCACGTCGCGTCCCGACCTGATGTGTTCCCGACCTGTCCCGATCACTGGGTCCTCAACACCTCTTTTGTTTAGTACTTTTATTTCCATTTATTTTCTCTTTTATTTTTGAAAAAACTAGTAATAACCCACGCATATTTTTGTAGAGGTGCTGTCATCAGATGAAGATGAAATCGATGATGCTAGTCAAGAATATTTGGAGAAGTTACAAGAAAAGGTGACGAGGTCGTCTACGCAACATGGTTTTACCGTATCATCTTCAATTCAAGACGGGCATGGTGATCACAGATCGGACGATGACGGCGATGATTCCGAGTACGATGCCAATGAGGAAACTCCACTTGAATGTTACACCACCCCTTTGGATTCCGATGATATGAATCAAGATGAATACGTCGTCTTTAAAGAAGTAATGCAAAGTGAGTAATCTATTGTATTTTTAAGACACTTAAACGATTTAAGTGTTTATTTAAATATCGGAAATTTCTAGATATCGAAAGAACAGACATGGTCTGGTATAGAGCATTAACTGGCCATTTAACTGCAGAACAGCAAAAAGCGTTACAGGAAGTTATTCTCTTAGCAGACCAACGTAAAGCAGCCGTTGAAAGTAAAAGAATTGAGCAGAGCGGAGGTATGTTTCTCGAATCGTCTCTATGGTCTTGATCTATGTGTAGTTACTTCCATTAATATTCGGACACAATTCAAAATAGAATAACTGTTTTAATATTGGATCAAACAGCTTAATTTTTTGTTTCCCATGTAATATGTAACAAAAAGTCAGATTCTCGACGAAAAAAGAGCATGATTTTTAACTTTTTATTGGGGTCCTCAATAAAAATTTGAAACGTCCTATTTATGGATCTATCTAAGTTAGACGCAGTTTCATAAAAATTGGTGAAAGCATAAAAATGTTAGACACATCGTTCAATTTATCTCAGTTGCAGACCGGAAATCGTCAAAAATTGATTTTTCACATCTCTAATCGCTGGTAACTCATGGCAACATTAATCGAACTTGCTGAAACTTTCTACATGCATATAACTTAGATCTACGAAGGAGATGTTTCAAATTTTTATCGGGAACCCTAATAAAAAAAGTTCCACGTTCAGCAGGGGAACTAGTGCTGTAGTCTTTAAGACAGGGTATAAAGAAAAGCGTATAAAAACAGGGAGCTCAGGGGTCCACGTTTGACACCGAAGCGGTAGGTCTGATGTTTAGGGTCCACTACCTGCGTCGAGAGTTCTTTCGCTATACCCTATAAACTGTCCTAAAGGCTATAGCACTGGTTCCGCTGCCGAATGTACGTCCTACGATCTACGGAGACCCTACGTGCCGTTGACGCGACAGTGACGTTATGTTAATGTATATAGACCTTAAAAAGGACACTGGTGGTTAAACCTTATTATGACGTAAGTCATATTTTGTGTCTTAGAAATATTACAGAGCTATAGCTTCAATTAAATCGATATTGCATGTTCTTTCGCCTTTCCTTAGTCCTCGGTACAAGCCACATTAAATGTCTGCAAGAGTCACATTTGTTTCGTGAGCCACAATTTGGCTAACATTGAAAATAATACAATCCCATATAAGAAATAATTTAATGCAATATATTATTCATTGTTTCAGGTTATGCTTTTCATTCGCAAACTGTACCTACGTCGTTCAATTTCGGTGGCACGCCTCTGAGCGGATAGACTCCCGATCGTTTATATTTTTAGCTTAAGTAAGTAAATAAATTGTGAAGCATCCGAGTCAACTATCCTTGACAATGCAATACATATTCCCAATCCGTTTGAATACCGAGCTATATGAACTAAATAGAATACGAAAAAGATTCAGTTCGTTTGTTTACGTGTTACTAATATTTCAAGTCTATAGCCTTGTAAATTACAACAATGGTAGCATCCTTTCGAGCGTTTCGAAATCTGTTTTACGATGGAATCTGCGAACAAGCACGCCTTCTTTTTAATGCAAATAGGAATTCTCATGCCAGAGGAACCTATGTCTAGAATAGAGTTTAACATGAAATTTATATATTTTTCGATATAAAAAATATTTTTTATCGTGTATTTCGATTTCCAGATTCCAGGGAATATGTTCTGATCTCGATTTCCAAATCATCTGTGCTTCTTCGCCGAGCTTACGTCAGTCCATCGTCCAGCGCGATCGAATCTTTTTTTTTTACGAAAAAAAAGAACAGATATTGTACGTGCAAATGAAAAAAGTATGGAAGAACGCATGTAAATGTATGTATGTACCCAATAGAAAAAGAAAGGGTAGAGGGAAAAAACGAAAGGTGATAAAGGAGGAAGTAGTTCGGTCGCTCTTGAAGCGCTCGAAAAAGTGCCTTCAAACACGCTCGACGCGGATGGAACCTAATTTAAAGAAAGCAAATTGGATCGAGGCTAGGACGCTTCTCTAGTTTGTAAGTTTCGTAAACACTGTACTAAAGTATAATAAATTAATGCTAACTAAAAATTACTTAATTGACAAATTTTTAGCCTTGATTTTATTAATATAAATCGAATAAAAGTTTCGAAAGGAACAATGAAATTGTTAGAAAATTATGTCACTGTACATTATGTCTTTAAATATGTCGTGTACAATGTCTATCAGCTGGATAGGTTTATAAACTAGTGACACTAGCTACAATAAGTACTTTTTTGTATAAAATTGTACAATGCATTATTGAATGTTTTTTATTGATTTGCTTAAAAGAATAAAACTAAATTTAATACCAATTTTATATGATTATAATGTTACTTATGATGTATATCCGACTGAAAATTATCAAGTTGTATTAGAAAGAGGATAAATAACGGAACGTAAAAATTTTTTCGTTAACAGCCTTATATTCCACTTTCGATCGATACATAAGTTACGTGATTTCAAATGAAGAGCTTGGCAGGATATTCGTACCCATTTAGGGAAAATAATTCGTATCCTGCGAAGTAATCCTCAGGGCGGAGATACATTTATGAAAGGTCTTGACAATTATTGATATTGCAAATACATTTGCAGAATTTTATATAAATACATGCACGCATATATACATTCTCCCTAACACGATTAAAGCAATAGCGATCACGATTAAATTGTCGAATCGAAATTCTATTATATTATTAGTAATTTTCTTTTATACAAATTGCGACAATTTTAATCATTAACTTTCTTTTCCTCATCTGAATTCACTGGTATATTAAAAAATTGTTAACAATCGCTACCATTACTACGTTTCATACCGTATTTACCAGTTGTTCGAATTACAAAATTTGCAAATGTAAGTGCAACCTTCAATTCTTTGTTAATATTTGAGGGAAAAAATAAAGAAATAAGTATCCCACTCCGAGAAGACAGCGCATCTGTGGCATTTTTTCTTTGTTTTACCAATGGTTTATTGGCCAAAGATACGAAGCACTCGTAAAGACGCAAAGAGGCCCGTTAAAATAAACAAGATAGACAAGAGGATCATATTCAGAGCGGGGAGAAGTTCTACTCTCGCTCCGTTTTCCTCAATGTATTCTCGGATAAAGTGAACCATAATGTCACTTGAGACACCGTTCAAAGTAAAACGAACCGACATAGCCACCTCTCATTGCTTTCGCTACGTTCTGCTCAAACGCTCTCCTATTATTTTGCAAGACTTCGGCGGCATCTTTATTTAAAGGGTCTTCTGGATTTGGCTCCTAAGCAAATAATTTTCAATTCGTAAGATTTTTATCTATTTGTTCAAACATGTTCAACAGTATATTAATATAAGTAATTACCAAAAAAAGATACTGCAATCCATATACGATAGAGTTAATTGTTAGGACTGGTTTCCAATCTTCTCTCAAAATGTTAAGACACACATTGCCATCAAGGTCAATGTTAGGATGATAGACCTGTGTTTCACATTTTACTTTAGGTGGTTCATGTGGATAATTTGGCCCAACTTTAAAACTGAAAACGAATCTACCACCTCTATAAAATCCCTAAAAATAAAAAGACCATTATCAAATTATTTATTAAAAAGAGAAAAGAAGAAAATTGTTCTCTTACCTCATCTGGGCAAATGATTAATTTAAAATTAAGTAGGTCATCTGGATCAGGAAACTCTGTCCCGCAGGTTTTTGGAAGATTGAGTTCATTTATGTCTAGATAAAACAGAAACTTCTCAAAATATATTAAAGAAATTTGCTTTGATATGAACTAAATGCTTTCAAAGCTTAACATTAAATTTCTTAAATACATGCACCAAACAATAAAACCAGAGAACTAAATATAAAACATACATATGTATATGCATGTAGAATGAGTATTGATAAAAATGAACAAACACTTTAACAGTTACAAACGCTAACAGCAACAAGGTGAAAATCTTAAACGAAACATTTCGTGATTTTGTCGCAAGCGACGTGTTCCACTTTTTGTGTACGTTAAATAAAGTATTTAGAGAGCAAAGCTAACAAACAAAATAGATGTTGGAGTATGAGTGGCCGTCAAAAAACCTTTTGTGATTCTCAGTTGTGCTGCGGATGCCTTCTTTTGGGTACCAGCTTTCGGCGACTCGCCATCCTTTTTCGCCTGTTTTAACGAGAATAATTTGATCATGATAAAGTGGCGGGTGCCCGGCGTGGAAGGCACGAAAGTCTTCTTCCTCGAACGGCCACGCGCGCAACTTAGATGCACGCAACAAAACTTTTTGACAATGGAAACAACTACTGTGAATTTACGACTGATTTCACGTGGACGGAACAGAAATCGTTTTTGTTACGATCACGGTATTAAAGTTCCGTTTCTCATGCGTTTAAGGTCTGTATCTCATTATTATGAAGTGATGTGACGTATACAGACTCATATATGTACCACACAGATATATACATATGTAAAATTGAATAGTTAAAGTTAAATCTAATTGTTGGATGAAATAATATTTTTGGATTTTCATTTCTATAAACAGTTGTAATGAGAATAAGAACTATGACTGTGTAATTTGATTGGATATGTCTATTTCGATATAATATATCATTACAACATATATGTATAGTAATTAGAATTTTTTACTATAAACGAGTTCATAAAATAAAAATAATGTTTAATGATTTATATAAATCAATCATTACGCATTTTACATAAACATTTATAATTTACTATACACATTTATAATTTATAAATAGAGATTTGTAACAATTATTTTGGGTAGTAACGATAATAAGTAATACAACGTCGAACAATTTAAATTACGTTACCGTATATAGGAATAAAGAATTGTATGTATTTCGCAATTTGTTTCTCGCTGTTTAAATATGATTGGAGAACACGTATAACGATTTCCAATTTCTGCCAATCATCATTCCTGATCTCATGTGTATCGCAGAATTTTGACTGAATAGTGAAAATAACTGTTCCGATACCGTCTACGAACAATGGTTTGATGCTGCAAGGGAAAATATATAAACACTACTTATATAAATGGTTGAATGTTCGTTACAAGTCAGCGTGAGGCTTAAGACGTCAATGGCTTGTGTTCGTTGTGCATGTCGCTTCTAACGAAAATTTGAAAATTAACAGAGTGAGGTCCCTTGGTCTGTGTACTTTCTCAAGTTTGACGTTAAACGGCACGATGGCTGGAAGTCGGGACGAAATCTTGGCTAATTTTCAGGTGATTTATTTGAAAATTTCATGATTCGCTATTTTCAAATACAAAATAGAATTTTAGGTTATGGTGTGAGCATTAATGACAGTGACAGTGGTAGAAATTTCTTAATATTGAACAATATTCTCGATTGTTTTACTTATGATCTGTCAAAATTTTTATGGCATTTAATAATATATGAGACATTTTAGCAATAATACAATGGCATTTGTTAGCACTTTTTCTATGTGTTTTTTTTCGGCCGTATATGTATGTTACTTTCTTTTTATCTTTACACTATTGTCTTTATGAGTTATAAGAATGTGTACAAAGAACAAAGAATTTCAAGCATGGAAACGAATTCTAATAAAAAATTGTTGAATTTATTTTAATGTACATATTACAATTTTTGAGATCAATATGAATAAACATGTTCTTGCACTTAAAATTAATATAACACATATTTTTAGGCATGTACAGGAATTGATGATGTTGGTGACGCCTTTAAATATTTAGAAGATTCAAATTGGGATTTGCTGGTAATCCTCCTATATAAATTTGTATGTTTAGAGGAATGTACATATGCTTAGAGAAGCGCATAAATGTTATGATACTTTACAGACAGCAGTAAATCAAGCTATGATTCGAAATACACAACAACAGCCTTCTGAAATAAGTCCAGATGTCGAAATTATAGAAGAATTTGAAAGGATACCCCAACCATATTCATTAGCATCTGAAGCAATTTGCGATTCCAAGACTAATACCAAAATGGAAGTAACAGAAAATTCAGAGCCAGGAACAAGTAAACCCAAAAACTGTGCGAAAGAGAGAATCCTTACATTCCACATTAATCATCGTAATAATGAGCATAAGATAGAAATATCTGAGTTTTCATTATTGGGTAATCATTACTAATCTTTTACACTGGTAATTCTCAATAGTCAAAAGAAAGTATCTCCAATATATGCTTATATTCTTTTTTTAGTGGATCTTAAGCAACTTATATGGGAACAAACAAATGTTCCACTTTGCCAGCAACGTCTTTTTGGATGGAAAAAAGAACCAAAATCAGATTATAGATCATTGCAGTCGTTAGATTTACCTAAAGAAAACAGATTGTACATGTCTCCTGTATCAGAAGATATTGATTTAACAAATGACATGTAAGTAACTGAATACTTGAAGTATTTGCAAAGATAGTAGGGTAAATGTGTACTATTTGGAGTTATTTCAACAGCTTGCGTATCATTAGTAACATATAATTAGTATAAAGATAGTTACAAAACAGTAAATGGTATCAATGATGTCCTCAAAAAACAGAAAGACAAATCATTATAAAGTACATATCGTTCGAAACATTATAATTGAAGAAATTATTACATTATCACACAAGACTTTTCTAAGTCATTTGTGGCTACAAACGCTGCAATTTTAGTCAATAGTGTTTCAAGGTGCGGCCACTTATGAAATTGGTAATACATACACTAAAAATTCTAATTTTTAATTAATTACAAATTAATTACTTAAACACTATTAATTTTAACTAACACCAGAATACTTAATACGTCGGAACAAATAAGATACTGGCGACAAATGGTACATCTGCCCTATATCAAAAAGTTGTCTAGGACATAATTTTATATATCTATTACTTTCTCCAGTATGAATGCATCAAATCGAATGACTGAAACTTACACTTTGAATATTAAGGATGACATAAATAAAAAAACGTATAATTTAAAATTTCCTGGAACAAGTACAATTTTGGATGTAAAATCTGGTTTTTATGCATTGACGACTGTGCCAGTTAGAAATCAGCAATGGAAAGGTTGGCCAAGTTCAGTAAAAAATGATAATGTTATGTTAGCTCAAAGTGGTATTTCTTACCCAGAACATGATTTATCTGTTAGTGAACTCCCTATGAAAGAAGAGAAAAAGGTATTTATAATATAAGTGTAATGTAAAATGTCATGTATATTAATTAGGTATGCAAAGTAACGTTCGTTTAATTTTAGGATGTTATAGATCTCGTTGAGAGCGATAGTACTGTGGATGAAGATGATATAGAAGAAGACGATATAGATGACGAAATTTTCGTGGACAATGTTAGATCTACAAAAACTCAACGTTTCAGTTAGTAACTTGAAATTTATAAACTAAATTATTCTTTTGATTTGCAGTAATTTAAATGATCATTCTTTTTTTACAGTGCCAGATGATGTAACTGATGAGATAACAGGTACTATGCATTTTGCGGAAGGATTTGAAAAACGATACGGTCCAGTACATCCGGAATTTTTTACTGGTACATTTGAGGATGCTGTTAAGGAGTCGTGTTTAAAACCAGCGAAAGAGGTTTGTGATCATTTACATTAAATAGTACTGTATGAAGCGTACGATGATGTCATAATGTTGCAACATTTCAGAGAAAATTATTAGCTGTATATTTACATCATGATAATAGTGTATTAGCAAATGTATTTTGCACTCAGTTATTAAATTGTGAATTGGTACTCCAAGTTCTATCTGCAAATTTCATAGTATGGGGTTGGGATATCACGTTTGAATCTAATAGGCAAAGGTATTACACAAAATATTCTTACAACTTGAAACTTTCGTCTGTTACTTACAAAATACTTTCTTTTTTATAGATTTCTTTCTTCTGTAAAGCAAACTTTAGGATCATCTGCAATGTTAGCTATACACGACATAAATTTCGATACCTTACCTGCTCTTGTAATCATAATGAGAACTAGATCCAATACAGAAATGTTTACAGTAATACATGCCAATGTTGGAGTGAATGAGTTGTTAACGAACTTAATTCATGCCGTTGAAGTATTTCAGGTAAATAAAACTTAGTTGCATTATTATATGACAACCTTAGTAAACTGTTCTATATAATTTTTTAAACACAGGAACAGAGACGAAACGATATTACCGTTGAGGAAGAAAGACAAGCTAGAGAGAGAGTAAAACAAGAACAGGATAGAGCATATCAAGAAAGTTTAGCAGCAGATAGGTATGCTAAAAATAATAGATTAGTTATGTTCAAGAAATTAGTATGTACAATAATTTGTAGAGCAAAAGAAGAAGCGAAACAAATGATGGAGGAGCTGGAAAAGCAACGAAAAGAACAGGCTGAAAATGAAAGATTGGCTGAAGAAGCAAGGAAAGAAGCTCATAGGCAGGCGGTGGAATCGAGCTTACCTCCTGAACCGCAGCAAGGAACTAGTGATGGTGTGTTGAAAGTACGAGTACGACTTCCAGCTGGAAAGTTTCTGGAACGTAGATTTCAATCCGATACACCACTGCAAACACTCCTTAATTTCCTTATTGTGGAAGGTTATCCAACAGAAGAATACAAAGTTCTATGTAGTTGGCCTCGAAGGGATGTAAGTAGATGATGTAAGCACTTGGGTTCTCATTATATAGCCGCGCGTTGTAATTAAGATAGCAAATTAGTATCTGGTACAGAAAGAAATAGGAAATTCATTTTAAATAACATTTTATTTCAGTTAACTTCCATGGATTCGAAACTCACTCTTACAGATCTAAAATTCTGTCCTCAAGAAACAGTAATTTTAGAAGAACGATAAGTAACTCATTGTAATTAAATTGAAAATGTAGGACTTAAGCATTGCAATATTCTGAAAGTGTTATTTATTTAACAATTTTTGTATAGTTGTATCAGTTAGTATCGAGTTTCGTTTATTGTGCAACTACATTTTTATGCTGTATCTTTTCGTACCATTCATTCGTACGACAAATGTAGTCTTATATTATAAAAAAAGTCCTTTCTATGCATGTGCATTGTATATTTTAAATTCCTAAAAATAAATTACATTTCGAAAAACCACAAACAAAACTAGCCTTTTATTTGTCGGTATCATTGTTCGGTATCAACAATATAAATATTTAAAGAGTAGATTTAAAATTTCGTTTTGTAAAAGTTATATAGATGAATCTCGTAATAAAAAAAATACATTTTGAACAAATACAAAATTTTCTATTTCTTTTTACAAATACAATGATGCAGCAAAAACTATGTCACGTTTTATAAGTTTGATCGCTTCGCTAAACTTATTTTCCAAGTCTGTGTTTCCAATATTTTTTGCTGCCTGACATAACTGCCTAAGAACTTCTTCCAAACGGCGCATACATCTTATGATTGAACCTAAAATATTTTTGGATATTTGTAATAATTAAATAAAGGAAAGCGGGAAATTTTAACGTACCTTCAAATATGTCTGTCATTTTACATATTTGTAAAAAGGTCGCTCCTTTACACCAAGCATAAACAACATCCATTAAATATGGTTTAAATCTTTCCACGTACGCATCTTCATTTAACTCCAGATTAGCTTCCGTGGAAACTTTTGCTATTCTACGAGCTAGATCTTGCATTTGTCTGAGCGGGCCACTCAATTCTTCGGTGCTCTTAGGCATTTCATTTGATTTATCGTCACAAACAAAACAGCTAATTAATGCCACCATTTGTGGCACGCTTAACGAATTAAATAATCCATTAAAAATCATTTCCGTCATCAATAATTCATCAGCTCCGTTAAGTTCGCACGCTACCCTGCCCTTTAATTCTATAACATCCGACGCTGTACAATATGCCAATCTTCGTAACACTCGCTTTCTGCATTTCAATTCATCCATTTGAAGTATGGATTTAGCTTGCTTTAATTCCTGCTTGGCTTGCTTTATCTGATTAGCTAAATCTTCTTTGTGTAAAAATTGTTCATAGAGAGTATTCACATTAGGATCCTAGGTCGAAAAATCATTATGATTATAGAGAAATAAAAATTAGAAAAATAAGACGTAAAAACAGATGACTAATTTACCTTATGTAAAGGGTGTGCAAACAATTTGGTTTCTAATACTTCAATTTTGTTGACAATATTTTTGAAAGCTTCGTCTTCGATGTGCATATCTGTGATAGGGTTCAATAACGGTGGTCCGTCTGGAAATCTCTTTTTCACTTCTTGTATCGTTTTTAATACGCTCTTCCTATTATCAAGCGGTCTTAAATCTTTCGGATAGTACAGTCTGAGTGAACTAATTTGGGAGACTAATGTATGCATAACAGGAACTACTTCCACTTCGCCTTCTTCTCCTTCACGACAAGGTATGGGACAACCCTCCTTGGAATCTTTCGATATATGAAGTAGTATATCGATGACAATAACAGTATTTTCTTTTGTTGGATTTTTTGGATTTTTCTTCTTAAAATTTACAATAATACCCCAATCGAACAATTCATTTTCGCTTTTCACCTAATTATCAACGTAAGTGTTAAAAAAATATTTTAAAACTAAACTGACACATACATCTGCATACATACTTTAAGCAATCTCCCAGGTTGCAGAAATGGAAGTAAATATTCCGGCTTTGTTAAAAAAGACCTGAATTCACTACCAAGACGTTCAAGCTGTTCACGTATGTCATGATAAGACGATATCTGACTATACTTCTCAACGGTCACTGCATTATATGTAACTTGCAAGTCCTTTACCTCTGAAATAATTCAGAAAAGTAGTGAATTTTATTATAAAACGTATTATCTATCTATACAACGAACAAATATGTGAATTACTTACTATTATATAGCTCTGGAATTGAAGCTTGATTTTGAAACTGGTAAAAGCTTCTTTCAAGCATATATTCTGGATTAATTTCTTCGACTCTCAACAGATTTAAAACCATGTTATAAGTTAAATGAAAAGCTGAATTTATAGGATCCGGTTTTCCTTGTACAATAGCTTTACCGACAACCGGACTGACTTGTTCATCTATCATTAATATTACTATTCCTTTCTCATCTAAACCTCGCCTACCAGCTCTCCCAGACATTTGTATGTATTCTCCAGAAGTAATCCAACGAAAATCTTTGCCATCGAATTTTCGCGACGCTGTAAATAAAACTGTTCGTGCTGGCATATTTAATCCCATAGCAAAAGTCTCTGTCGCAAAAAGTGCTTTTATTAATCCTTCACCAAACAATATCTCTACAGTTTCTTTCAAAATAGGTAGGAGCCCGCCGTGATGGATGCCTATTCCTCGTCTTAAAAGCGGTAAAACATTTTCGACTTGCGGCAAACGTCGATCTTCTTCACTAAGAACGTCCATTGCATTGTTGAATACTTCATCGACCAATTTCTTTTCTTCCAAAGTATTTAAATCCAACTTAGCCATTTGCATTGCATATATTTCGCAATCTTTTTTTGAAAAACTAAATATAATTACAGGCGCAAAATTTCTTTCCATAATCATTTTAACCATCTTAAAGATATTCGTCTGGCCAGCATTCGACGGACGAATACCGCCTTTGCGACCTTTCGTATCCCCTTTAGCCGCATCGCCGTGTTGAAGACAAGCCATTGCTCTGTTAAAACTTTCTTCTTTAAACTGTCCATTTTCATCAACAACCTACAGTGAAACGCTATTATAAAATATTCACTTCATTCCACAATAAGTAATTCGTTTATTACATACCAAATGAATTCCATCACCACCAACTGGAAATATGTAATGTTGCAAAGGCGTAGGTCTATAATCTGTATAAACAACGTGACATGGTTGTTTGTGTAAATGTGAAACCCATTCAACAAATTGTCTGGCATTGGGTATGGTGGCAGAAAGAAATACATAATGCACATTATCTGGTAACAATATTAATGTTTCTTCCCATACCACTCCTCTTTCCTTGTCACGCATGTAATGGATTTCGTCAAAAATTACCCAACCAACTTCCCGCATCACCTAAATATGATAGAAATTAGTCGAATTTTCATTTATACAGAGTACTCAGTAACTGATGGTACAACCGAAAGAAAGAAAAAGCTAGAAAGAATAAATTTCGCACTTAATTAATTGAAATGGCAGAATACCTATGAACATAGAGAAGTTTAGTTCGTAGAACACAACCGTCAAAATTTTCAATATGTCAAAAAATTTATCGATCAAGTTAAATATTCCCCTTTATTTTTAATTACCCAGTAAAGCAAGTACGAGTCTACGTCTGAAGAATAAATTAGTAATACATGTCAGGTTGAAACGTAGTCAAGTTCACATGTGCCTACTAAATGTTTAAAGTTGATTTTCTCAAAAACAAGGTCACACATGAACAAACTTTATTCTGCATTATCATCAAATTTTTCGATGTATATTTTTTCTTTCCGACTGTACCACCACGTTATTGACTATCCTGTTTAAGAAAGATTAGTCATGTATTAATGACAAATATTAAAAAACCTCAGATCCTCGATAAAGCATATTTCGTAAGATCTCGGTCGTCATAATAAGAACACTGGCTGTTGGATTAATTGTAACATCACCTGTTACTAAACCAACGTCTTTAAACTCCTCGTAAAATTCTCTGTATTTTTGATTACTCAAAGCCTTTATAGGAGTTGTATATATAACTCTCTGTTTATCTCTTAGTGAACATGCTATTGCATATCTAAAAAAATTTGATATTATTAATAACAAGTAATTTTCTTTTAACAAATTTTTACTTCTATTGTTCTACGTACTCTGCAACAACAGTTTTACCAGCTGAGGTATGAGCAGAAACTAAAACAGACTGATTATTTTCAATACATAGTATTGCTTCCTTTTGAAAAGGATCTAACACAAATTTGTACTCTTTAGCTGGTTTTCCTTGTTTATTTTCCAATGGCATATATTGATAATCAGGTGGGACTGCGACTTCATGTGTGCACGACTCAATTGTCTCTATTGTATGTATTTTGATGCGTGGTGCCAATTCTTCTATACTATAAAAAGTGAAATAAAAGGAAAAATATATACATAACTTGGTTAAATATAAATTGGTCAAACTGAAAGATCTTTGGACAGGAGAATCATTGTTTTAGAAAATACAATTGGCATATTACTTTAAATCTTCCAATACAGGATCAGGTCGTAATCTTTTAGAAATTAAGTCAGTAGAAGCATTTTCAAGTCCTCTCTTAATTCCAATAGTTTCACCAGATTTCCTGCAAATATATCATTGTTTTTACTATTTAGCAACGTTTGTTAAAACTTTAAGGCTATGTTATAGAGATTAGGAAAGAAGGTTACGTACTTTTCACTCAATGAATGTGGAATTACTTCTATTTCATCTTCTGCTTCATCAAAAACATCAAATAGCTCTTCGCTAAAGTTAGCCATTGTAAGTATTAATAAATATTCTCAAATATGTACAATTTTCAAGAATTTTCACCACGTTCACCATGCATCAAAATGTGTTTATTTCCGCTTTCGATAATCGATATCATACATATATCGAGTGATCGATTATCGAGATTATTATTATCGATTAATTTCAAAATTCAATGAACAGTAGGAAACTTTCAATAATTTTCAATAGTGTTGAAATTTTAAATTAAGCAGTTTTTATGTTTATTCCAAACGGCTGGTAATGATAGACTCTTCCGCTTCTGTTTTGAAGACTGCGAGCACACGTGAGAGGAAGTAATCATAGTAGTAATTTAAAGAATAACAAAGTTATTTAGTTTTATTTTTATTATTCACTTGTTACAATAAATACAATTCATTTTCGATTCTGTAAAGACTCTGCTTAATAAATAATCCTAATACGTATCATATTTTTGTGCATGTTTTTCTCGTTCGCAAAATAGACAAATGTTAGATTAAAATAACAATAAACCAATTGTATAACAAACAAAATTATGGAGAAAAATAAGAATACAACAAAAGTTGTTGAAAACGTATCTGTTTTATTTCTTTTTTATGATATCATGTTATTTTTAAGAAATTAAAATATTAAATATTTTTCTGAAATGTATCCAGCAAATTTTGGTTTATGATTCATCAGTTTTATTCAACTCTATCCCATATCGTAATTGAAATGTATAGAGCTCAATGGTACCTTCTATTTATGAGTTTTGCTATTATAGGATATTCAAGACGGAAACCTGAAACCACTCACTTTGCATTTCTCCGCCTTCCGCCTGCAGAATTTCCACTCCAGTTGGGATAGACCTCAATGATCAGTTCATATCCATTACAAGTGTATTTGTATCTTGTATAAGTTTGTTTTGTGAACATGACAATGTAACGGGAATGATCGAAGGACAAGAACCCGAATGGATAGAAATTACTTAGGAACGAAGAAACAGGACTTTCAGTTTCCTTTGGGCGTTCGTGAGTACAACATCGCAAGTGTAACGGTCCCGCGTGGTTGGTAAGAGCGTGAAAGTTTCGTCTCTTGAGCGCCCAGTCTCCGTATATGAAAGTTAATCGACGCCAAAAGAAGACACGGGGACGAGCGTACACAGGTATTTGAATTCAGTTTATTTTTCCAAAGTAATTTCGCATTCAATTTTTATGTGGAAAATCGTCATTTTATATAGATCGAACTCAATTTTAGTTACATTTATTGTGCGTTTTTATTACGTGACCTGATGAATATAAATGTAGTGTGTAAAGTGAACAAAACAAGAATGGTTTATTGGGTTGGAACGACAGTGTTTTCATTTTTTCTTTTCTTCCTTCTTTCTTATTGAGGAAGTTTCTCGTGGTTATGAAATATTATGCTCAGCTGTGCATGTAACGAGAGGAAATGACTATTCAAAGACTCGTAAACTTTCATTCTCAATGAACTTCACCGTTAAGCTTTTCATAGGAACTGCGTACACATATTTTTTATACGTGCAATTCGTTGATTTAGAGCATTTTATAGTATGGGATACGTATTTTAAAATGATTGGTATGTACCAATCAGTATATAAACATTATAATGTTTTAATAACAAGTCATATTTGCGTAAGCACCGATAAGAACACCTGCAGCATTCTAATCGCAATGATGTTGACGTAATACATTGAGACAAGTTTTCCAAATACATTGGAAAATGTACATAAATAATTCTTGTACATCGTTTGCTTAATTTGCGAAACTGGTATTTACTAAAATAACACGTATATTTAGTTTTTTGTTTTACGTGCGTTTAACCACTTACGTAACAGTTGCATTATACTTATTATTCGTACACATTTCCCAGTAATTTTTTCAATCGCTTATTAATTAATCGTGTTCGTTCTACATTAATTTCCGCTTGATCTCAAGCTATATCCGTTTTATCACACTGTAACAGTCAGAAACTTTCATAACAAAGTACTATTTACATACTTGTTAATTAACATTGACCTCAGTTTAAGTTAACATAATTTTACGTAGGTCTCAAACAATTAAAATTACGATGTGGTTAAAAAGAATCGAAATAAAAAAATTTCATACGATATCAATAAAAAATAATTTTCTTAACGAATGAATTAAGAGAAGCATCTGTTTGCAAGTATGTTGCATGACAGACAGTGGTAACAAGGGTTGCGAAATGTGGTGAAGTCTCGACAGAATATCTAGTTATGTGTTAGACTCGAAGGACGCGAACGGGAATACAAGAATATAAGACGATCAATGGTCTCCGAGTTATCGTTCTTTAGGTCGAAGAGTCAGGGTTCGTCCAGAAGCAGATCTTTCTCAACCACTGTCCACGTCCTACGATAGATTTCTGATCATTCAATTTCATGACTCGTTGATCCTCTTATAATCATTTTTAATTATACGTTTTACATGTAGTTACCAAATTTCGCAACATAATACTGTTTTTATTAGAATTATGCATTTGTTTAGTAAAATTGTAGTTCATTCACGTTATTAAATGACTTGAGTGAGACCGCACTTCAAAACGTTAGAACTTTTTAAATAATACTTATCAATGTATGCAATCTTCAGTCTTCATGTTGGATGAATCTCACACCATGAATTCTATTATGTAAAGTTGTAATGATTTTCATGAAAAAATTACGATAACTGCTACCCGCAAACTATGTTCAATTAATTAAGAATTTAAGACGATTATGTGCGTTTATTGAAAAAGGTAGTCGTTTGTGGAACACAGTGGTAAATTATGACTGGAAGGGGAACGACGAAGGTAAACGGAGGCGCCATATAATTTAACTATGCTCAAATGCCAGTTACCTCGGAGTAACGGTTATTTGTACCGATTACGATTGCATATATTACGTACATACTATTCTTTTCATTAAATAGATTTGAAAAGATTTCTCAATTGTTTGACATTGCACATAATAAATGAGAATCCGTTATTTACATATACTTCTTCAGTAAATCAATTATATATCAGTTAATTCGTCACTTGCATTTTTATTGTCATTAATACATCAATAGGATACATGATATGAAATCGCACGTAAGCCATAAAAATTAATTTGTCTTAAAATTCTCATTTTTGCCACTTTTTTAAAATTCTAAACTGAATGATTTCAGCTGACAATTTTTTTCTTATAATTGAAGAACCATTCATTTGCAATAAACAATAAGAAGTAATAAGTAGTTCGGTTGAAAGAAAGTTTCTCAATAGGTCAAGCAGAAGAAAGTTAAATAACTTGTAGTGTCTCTGTGGTAATGAAACTCATGTTGACTATCGAAACACATGTATGGACCAGTAAAACTGACGTAATCCTCTGGTTGTACTGTGAATATGCAGATATCGCAGTGAAACAATTGTTATTTTTATACTTTCTCCAACGAGAAGAAGAGCTACCCATATGTTCTTTGCTTATTTAGTCGAATTCAAACCGAAGTTTGTACATCATCACACTCAATGACATGAAATTTGAATCTGCATATATGAAAGTTGTGCCTTGCTCGAGGCTATTTTGCCTTTCTTATTTACCATCCGAAAGAAAATTTTTAGGTAAGGCGGTACCGTATCAATTTCTGCCCTATATATTGACGACCTCAAAATTCGCTTTATTGTATGCTTTCACGAAGCCATAATTATATGCTTTATATTTTTCATCGGTGAATAACAATTATTATGTATTATTTCTTCGTAGTTATTGCACACGTTTCACTCACATGTTGCATTAACGTGAAGAAAGAATACTGCAGAAACCTTTTGTTTCGTACACATCATTAGCAGAACTATCTACGACATCAACTTAGAAATAAATTTCTGCAATCATCGCAAATGTAGTTAGGTGATTAATTAAGTTACAAGTGAAACGTAGTAAAAGTTTATTGTTGGTTTATGAAGAAAACAACGCGAAGAAAAGTTCATCGGATTAGAGGAAACACTAAAATCATTTTTCGATATCGTGAGTGTAAATATAGAGACTCTTTTCTTTCTTTGGTCTTTTTAATGGAACGAAGGTACATGTATGGCTCTTTTGAGCGTACAAGAGTAGCATCGGTGTAAAGTAACGGGTCAGGTATTTATTTTCGTGCTGCCGGGTGGTACGTTTTCACGGGACGGCCCTGAATGAGTGCGAGTGAAAGTTCGTGAGTTAAATATTTTTTGCGACTTCGTTTTGTGAACCACGTCGCGTACATACGAGCTTCCTATAAGATAAGTTGCCGCGCGTCGCATACGCATGTCTTTAACGACGAATAAGGCAGACCTCGCAAGAACACTTTCTTTTAGATAATGTTCATTTACCCTGTACGCCTAAATCTATAATTAATTGTAAAACCGAAAAAGGATACAAAAATAAAAAGATGAAACGAGAAACTGGTAAAATAGATTAGAAATAATTATTCTATTTGTACAAAACTCTAATAAAGAATACCACAGGATTAAAACTAGTCTAATACAATTATAATAAGTTAGTTATTATTAATAACTAATTGAAATTGAGTTTGGTTTCTGAACAATAAGTGAAAATAAAAGAATATTTAATTGTAATTAATTAGCGAAAGGTCACTAATAAATAAAATGTACTCCAGCTTTTATTTATATATGTATATATACTCGTCCTGATTTTCACAGATTACTTGGTACACATTTATTGACTTATTGTTTACGGAGTCGATAAAAAATTCTTCGATTACATAACGTATTTGTGTAATATCGAGTTTCTGACTGGAGTCACATTCTTCTCCGAGTACAAAACTTTTGTAACGTCAATCGACATTCCAGGGTGCACCGTGTAATACGTGAACATTGAGCAGCGGGCTATCGCGACGTGAAAGTAACCAAGTGTAAGTGGCGGAATGCGGAGTGCTAGGCGCTACCTCGTGTACGTTGATCCATGGTGCTAGGTAATTGGAGTACGACTTTTATGGAATGCGTGCATATTTCTATATAAATAGTAAAAGTGCATACCTCAGCTAATGAATTTTATCATCTAAATTTTTCTCTTTATAAATGAAATTTTGCAGAGCACTTAAAAATGTTTCGTAATATTAGAGAATTAGTACCTTTTTAAACAAATCAATCACTAAACCGAAGATTCCTTTAAGAACAATTATTACGAAAGCATATTGCCAGTCTGCGAAGAATATCTTAAATAACGTAACACACATTTCACGTTGTTCAATTTCTTACACGAACATGACGAATGTGAAAGCGACCTTGAAACCTTGGATCATCCACCGCATCAATACTAAATCCAGTACTATTGTATTGCGACTATTTAAGTATTACCATGTCTGATAAGAATCGAATAAAATGTTTCTATCAAAATTTTAATGAATAAATTCCAACCAAATATGTCGTGCACAGGATGAGCTCTGATCTACCTCTGAGAATAAATAGCATACAATAAATTAATGTTGTGAGCAGAATTAATTATTTTTATTTCCATGATTTGTATCCCAGAAAATAGCCCAAGGATTCTCTGCTCTCAATATACATCATACTTTTTTTATGCTCTCTAAACCATCTTTCTCTCGAAATTAATTCCATTTCTCTTAATCATTCAATGCCGCTATCAGAGCTCTCGTAATTGAAAATAGCAGATTCTCTAACTCGTTTTCAAAGCTCTATTGCGTATTCCCGCGGTATGTACATCGATAACATAGGCAATGACACTCAAATGATTAAACTTTTATCAAAAAAGAACTTATTTCCAGAATTTCAGACCATTGGGGGTTTGCAGAAGTACAGCCCTCTTTTATTAGATTTTTTAATAAAGATATCAGAAACATCCTTTTTTCTTCGAAATTCTGATGAACAGCATATTTCTTTCAATTTTTTGTTACACACTGTAAAACAGATTAAGCCTCCTACGTCCCAAAGAAAATTCAAGCTATTTGGTTCAATATTAAAAAAGTCATTCTGTGTTAAAACTTGTTTGAATACTTTCGTGACCCACTGTATTATCTTTATGTGTCGTAATTTGATATTTTTCAGCGACAGTATCAAGAAAACAAAGAAATATGATGAAACATTAATAAGACGGAATTAGAGAATGAAAGCGCGCGGCTTTAAGCCCGCGGTTGATGATTGTAAAGGAGCATGCAGCGGTGGCTTCTGGCTCTAGACGAACCTGCATCTAACCCGTGCGGTAACTCTATCATCAACCACGAACCATCGGGGTACGAATAAATTTATTACGTTTAATTACTACTAGTTTTTATCTATAAGAACTTTCACGATTTATAAAATGTAAATCAACATTATTTTACTAGTTCCGAAGGATTTAGTAGAACTTTACCATGATTTTCTAAAAATAATAATTGAATTTTCGGATTCCTCGTGTTAAAATCGGTCCAAATGTTTCTTTCTATTATTAGAGCGAATTATATAGTAGTTTAAGATCTTGTTTATTGGAAATTTATTATAGGTGATACTATTGGACCGTAATAGGGGATGCTGGAACGCGGGAAATTTTGTTTCAGTGCCGCAACCGCAACGGCCTTGGCAGGTGGCAATCAAACCAATCCCGATAGTGAGGCTACCAAGTTTTCTTCACATCTCCCGAACGAACGATGTACCTGCAACCCTGATTGTCTCTATGCCGTACCCCGAATTGATTTACAGGAAGCAGAATGGTAAATGGGTTTGTCATTTTATTTCACTGTAATTTAATATCTTATACAGTGACTCCTATTAATATTCGGACATATTTCAAAATAGAATAACTTTTTTCACCTTAAAACAAATAATTTAATTATCTGCATGTGTATGAAATGTGTCCGAATATTAATGGGAGTCAGTGTAGATATTTTAAAATTTATTGTCCTTCTAAACATTTTTTCTTCCAGGCTGGAAGCAGACTCTTTGGAGACTGATATTCCAAAATTCGTAACCAGTTCATCGACGACTACGACAACTATAACGCGAAACAATCCAAGAAGATGTTATCGAACTTCGACGAGTTCCGGTTACTCCAGCCATTCCCCACCGTTATCGGCTGGTTCGTATTCTTGTTATGCATCGGCAGTCCCGGGTCAGAATTTTTTCCGAGGTGTACCACTGACGATGAAAGATCAGTTCAACGGAGGTCTCGCTGTAATTCATGAAAGCGAGATAATACCGCGACCCATTTGGCCAACTACGCTTCCGAATTCACGCGAACTTTATCATTCGGATGAAAACCCCGAATACGATAGTAAGTAATCAATGGATTGTGGATTTTATGCATTTATAAGAGAACTGAATATGCAGAAATTATAGATGCAACGTGTAATGCATGAAACTATTCAGAGTATCAAAAGTTCAATGCATATTTCCATATTTAGATAAGCGCTTTCCAATTTGTCTTCGTTCGCGGACTATTTTACAAACATATTGAGAGCAAGAAGAGAGTAGCTAATCAAAAAGTCAATTAATGTCACGTCAAAAATTAATTTAATTATCAACTTAGTTTAACATATGTAATTGTTTATTTAAATTTTTTTTAACAAAATTGTTAACAAATTNTATTAATGGGAGTCAGTGTAGATATTTTAAAATTTATTGTCCTTCTAAACATTTTTTCTTCCAGGCTGGAAGCAGACTCTTTGGAGACTGATATTCCAAAATTCGTAACCAGTTCATCGACGACTACGACAACTATAACGCGAAACAATCCAAGAAGATGTTATCGAACTTCGACGAGTTCCGGTTACTCCAGCCATTCCCCACCGTTATCGGCTGGTTCGTATTCTTGTTATGCATCGGCAGTCCCGGGTCAGAATTTTTTCCGAGGTGTACCACTGACGATGAAAGATCAGTTCAACGGAGGTCTCGCTGTAATTCATGAAAGCGAGATAATACCGCGACCCATTTGGCCAACTACGCTTCCGAATTCACGCGAACTTTATCATTCGGATGAAAACCCCGAATACGATAGTAAGTAATCAATGGATTGTGGATTTTATGCATTTATAAGAGAACTGAATATGCAGAAATTATAGATGCAACGTGTAATGCATGAAACTATTCAGAGTATCAAAAGTTCAATGCATATTTCCATATTTAGATAAGCGCTTTCCAATTTGTCTTCGTTCGCGGACTATTTTACAAACATATTGAGAGCAAGAAGAGAGTAGCTAATCAAAAAGTCAATTAATGTCACGTCAAAAATTAATTTAATTATCAACTTAGTTTAACATATGTAATTGTTTATTTAAATTTTTTTTAACAAAATTGTTAACAAATTCGCGGACATGTCGTCCACGAATTTTTAGTTGGACAGCGCTGATTTAGATCATCAAGGAAATGTATATAAATGTTTAATTCTGCATAAAAATCGTAGAAATATTCGTAGACATTTATATATATACTTTACATATAATAATGGACATTAATCAATGGTCGTGATTTAATAATAGGTTTATACGCGTGTTGTGGATGCGGTTGTGCGTATACTTATTCGTACTGCGATTGGGATTACGAAAAATCCGCGAGTACGTCAGCGCATGATGTTCTTATTGAATTATCTCGAACACTGAATTCTGTGATAGAAGGTAAAAATGCTATGACACCAGAAGAGATCTTAGACAATATTTCGCACAAAGTTGCCCAAGGAATCGGTTTAAAAGGAAGCCTGTACGAGTATGTTTATCATAATTCCTCTTTCTTATCGAACAAGCGATCGTTATTAAGCGACAAGACTCCATGTCTATTAAATTGCAACAAAAATTCATCGTCCCAAATCAATCCAGTAAACTCGAAACTCTACAACACGCGACAGTTTTATCTGCACAATCCATGGTATGCCTGCTTATGCGCTTGCGAGCATACGCATAAATATTTATCGTCTCCAAAAAGTAACGAACACACCGACACGAGCGAAGACTTGGAAAAAAAGAGGAACCCACCTAGCTCACGTTTGGTGAATGATCCTTATCAACGAATGAATCCGGAGTCAATCTTGCAAAACGATGAAAATGCCTCCCGATTACCTATTTGCAAATGTCCCGATCGTTCTGTTTCTCGTGATAAGAAAACGCAAAATGTATACGAAAATCATCGTATCATTAGTGACGTAAAGGAAACTAATATCGATGACAGATCTAAGACGAATCGGAATAAAATTGGGCATAACGGACCGGACTATGTTATGGTAAGTTGTAAAATATAATGCTATCTAGAACCTATTATTTGTTTTAGTATAAATTTCGTATATCAAAACTGTATATTTCAGAATATAATATAACAAGTTAGGTGAAAAAAACAGTTTACACAATATCAATGTAACCAACGTATCAAGACTAATGTTTCAGCAGTTGGAGTGTCCTGATGGTGATTCGTTCAACAACGGTATTATCTTCTCGTCCAGCAAAAATGATTGGGATTATCGTATGCAAGGATTCGCGGCAGACTTAGATTTCACGCTAGACGTCTCGCGAGCTGAACGCTTGGGTCGTGCGATCGCAAAAGCGAAACGAAAACGACAATGGTGCAGAACTCTAACTGCGTTCTTCGGACTAGTCTTCTTCGTTTTAAGTGTCGTCATTGTATCATTGTCTGTGACAAGAGGCCGTAAAGTGTTCGGAAGCATGTAAAAACGGTAAAGAAACGACATCATAGCAAAAATGACTGACGCTTATTTAATGTATTTTTTCGTACCTTATATATCGCTAGGTAAAATTAACAGGATTCAAATCCTGTTGGCAATATATGGCTGTGACCATGTTCTTACATATTATGTATGTATATTATTATTATAAGCAATGCGTATACCCAAATAAAACGGTGTTACGTTTTAATAAGCGAAATGAATGATAAAACATGAAATCTGTCAAAGATTTTAAATAAAGGAAATGAATATTTTATCTTTACAACCATTCTCTAGTTGATTAGAAGTTATTTCTTTACAACTGTTCCCTAATTAATTAGGGACTAGTTATTGTTTCTTATTATATTAATGCTATTACTATTAAAAAGCTACCTGCAAAATTTTAAATCAATTCACGGGTTTTTTGAAAAATTATAGTGACTTAAAATTTGCATGTATTCTTATGGTAATCAGCAGTAACCCAA